TCCGTCAGTAGCTGGGGAGGAGGCGTCTGCATGGTCGGAGATGGTGTCACTGGTCAGGCCCAGGGCTCCCTGCTCACAGCGCCTTGTGCCACCGTCCGGCCCACCCCCTCTGACCCTCCCAGCCACAGACATGGTCCCTGGCTCTCCGGGAAGGCTCTGAGCTCTCTCCCTGCTCCACAGGCTTCCACACGGAGCAGGTCCACGTGGGCTGTGCCCTGAGCGACCAGACCCCCGTGGACCCGCACTACCAATACGCCTACGACGGGCAGGACTTCATCAGCTTCGACAACCAGACGGGGACGCCTGCAGAAGCAGCTCTGGGACACGGTGCACCAGGACTTCACGCAGATCGTCTGGCAGTACCTGACGCACGAGTGCGTGTGGACGCTGCGGAGCCTGGTGCAGCAGGGGCGGGCCGTGCTGGAGCGGCAGGGTGAGTGAGCCGCGGTGGCTACCGGGGGAAGGGCGCAAGGGGGCAGGGTTACTGCCTGGGAGGGGTACGTCTAAACAGCAGGTGTTTTTCGGAAAAAGAGACACAAGTTGCAAACCGCAACTGGCAGCTGTTTCCGCTTCATTTTTCGGAAGAGGCTTTGCTGAAACATGGCCCGTCTACATGGGGCCAAATTTCGGAAAAAAAACCCAGTTTTGGAATATCCCTTATTCCGCTCACTGAGAGGAACACAGGGATGCTGAAAGAACGCGCCCCTGGAAAGTGTTCAGAAAATGTGGACGTGTTCCCTGGACGCATCAGAGTTTCTCTGGTATCCCAGGAAACCTCTGCAGTCTAGACACAGCCGTAGAGTGGGCTAGTGGATTGGCCACTGGGCTAGGACAGCAGCCCACTGGTTTCTACTCCCTGCTCTGCAGTGTCCTACTGGGAGACAATTTCTCTGTGCCTCAGTTTCCCCACATGTCCAATGGCTCCTGCCTCCTGATTAAGTGCTGTGAAGTGTGACCAATGCTGGCATTAGAGCAGAGGGGCTATTAGCCAGCCCTGGCTGCCTGGAGCCCCCACTCTGCAGGGCCTTTCCCCGGACACCCAGCTGCCTCCGCTTCCCTCGTCGGGCCGAGACGTCCCAGCTCCGGGCTGCGAGTGGCTTTTCTTGGCATGCAGGACCCCAAAAGGCCCCGCGGTCGGTGAGGGCGAAGGGGGCGCGGGACGGGCAGGACAGGGGGTTGCAAACAGAAAACCTGTTTGGAGCTTCCAGATGAAGCAGCTCCAGTTACAGATCAGTGTGAACGGGCCCAGACCAGGTCTGATCCACGTGGGAGTGGAGGGTGCCCCGGCTATCGGTCGCCTGGTGCACGTCCCTTCCCCACTAACCTCGTGGAACGAGGCATACAGCTAGTTCAGAATAGGAACCCTAATCCGAACTAGCTAGTCCGTGCTGCGTGTAGCCGCGCAGGGTCCGACCTAGCCGGCATTTAAAAATGGCGCCGGCCGGCCGGCTTCATGCAAATGAAGCTCGGGAAATTCGAATCCCGGGCTTCATTTGCAACTCCGAATGACTACATTAACCACCCTAGTTCGAACTAGCGGGGTAGTGTAGACAGACCCTCTTATGCTGACCCGGCACCAGCCCTGTAACTCACACTCTGTGTCTTCCCCCAGTGCCCCCCGAGGTCTCGGTGTCCCGCAGAGACGCCCCCCACGGCCCCGTCACCCTCTCCTGCCGCGCCAGCGGCTTCCACCCGCGTCCCATCCACCTCTCCTGGGTGCGGGACGGAGGCGACGTCCTGGCGGAGACGAGCTCCAGCGGGATCCTGCCCCTCGCCGACGGCACCTACCACACCCAGTCGTCCCTGGAGATCGGCCCGCGGCCGGACGGGCCCCGCTACGCCTGCCGGGTGGAGCACAGCAGCCTGCCCGCGCCCGCCCTCGTCTGGGGTAAGGAGGCACCTGTGGGAATCGCAGAGATGGGGCGCGGTTGGGCCGCAGGATGGTCAGTCTCCCTGCCCATTGTCCATGTGAACCCTTCTAGCTCTGGGTATTCGTGTGACCCACAGAAATGGCCGACCCCTCAGAGAATTTCAGTTTATTGCCATGGGGTGTCCAGTGGCAGTGAGTTCCACAAGTTAACAGTGTTTCACAGGAAAGGCCCAATTGCTGTGTGGTGTGTGTGGCTGGCAGGGCCCAGCAGAGCCCCGATCCCCTGTGCCCCATCCCTGCCCCCTCCCAGCCCGGCCTTTCTCCTCCCCCATAGGCCAGGTCTCTGCAGGGCCCCTGGGGAGCTGTTCAAGGCCTGTGGCTGCCCCAGCAGAGCCCCCCTCTCCTCCCCAGTGACTGAGCCCTTCTCCATCCCACAGCCCCTGAGAAGGGCCCCCTGCCCCCCGGGGTCCTGGCCGCCATCGTCCTGGCCGCGCTGGGTCTGGCTGGAGCCGCAGGGGCCGGCGTCTGGCTGTGGAGGAGAAAATCAGCAGGTGAGAGCAGGTCCCTGCAGGGCTCGGCCATTGGGCTGTCGCTGGCTGGGGGGGGGGTGCTCCGCGGGGGTGGGACTGGCCTGGGCAAGGGGCTGTGGGGAGCCCTGTGTCGGGGGGAGGGAGTCGGGGTCAACGTGGGGGGGGGGGCACCCTGCTCCCC